GCCTAATAGCCCATGCTGGCAATGCTGGAGTTGCGAGATTGTGGGGTCAAAAAGCAGCGCGCAGTCCGGGTGAGCATGGCGCTTGTTCCTGTACTTTTTTGGATATTCCCTCAGTCCAACTCTCCCAACAGCCCGGTAAACAGTCCTACACCCTGACACCCGAAGACCTGCCGTCTGAAGTTTTTTCGGAGAAGTTGATGAATCTCACCAACCCTGAATCATGGGTTTCCCTACTACCCTCCTCCTGCACTACCCCCCCTCCCCCCTTGGTTCCCCCCCCTTGGTTCCCCCCTTAATTAAATACCTTCATCTGGCTTAGTTATCTCTCAGTAGCCTTAACGATGGGGTATATTCATCAGTTTTTATGATAGTTTCACTTTAGCATGGAGACGTATTTCGCTATGATTTTTAAGGTCTACAGCAATGGATTCTGGATTTGCTTCGTCAAGGGCCGACCTGGTCGTCTGCTTGTTAGGGATTGACCTTGGGGACGAAATGAACCCTAAAAGGGTTTAGGCTTCATAAATACCTCAATCGAAACTAATAGTAGTATAGGGTATATATGACCCAATTTTAGGGTTCAATTGGTCCCCAGGGTGGGGGTCAACGGGGGGGTTGTGGGGCTTCTTCGGTTCTTTAGACTTACGGTGTTTAGGGCTTACAGGGTTGAAAGGCTCTCGTTTAGGCGTACGTAATAAAGGAATGAACGTAACGTGCATAAATTCACGCATTTCTTTGTAATTTACGCACTCATTCTATAGTTTATTGTATTCACTTCGTATTATTATCATCCCCCGGGCAGTTATAATAAAAAGGGAAGAAGATAGAAAATGAAGTAAAATTCATTGCAATTCACGTCTTTTATCTTGTTCACTTCATTTGTAATTAAATTCACGCGTGGTACCATCGGTAGAACCCAGGCTTTCAAGAGGGCGTAATTTAGGCAAACCCCCCCTTTCTGGGCTTGTTTGGGGGATCTTGGGATTTCTAGTAGGTTGAAAAGGTTTGGGCCCAAAAACAAAAACCCTCTAACCCCGACACCCCAAGACCCCCAAACCCTGAACCCTAAACCCCTCAAGCCTGAACTGATGAACATAAGCCTACCAACCCGCGCTTAAACCTCGAACTAAACCCTAAACCCTAAACCCCAAGCTTAAACCATAAACTCTAAACCGCTATATATGATCCCGCCCTCACAAACCGCCTGAGCATAAGCCCTAAACCCTACAGCGCCTAAACCCCTAAAGCCCTCAACCCTCACACCCTATACCCCAAGAACCCTAGAACCCCTCCAAACCCTAATCCCGAAACCTTCGAGACCCCGAAGCACCCTAAGCCCTGAAAACCTGGGGCGCCTCAAATGCTAAAACCACCCTTGAAATAACACATACACACACACACACACACTCACAGTAAAGACACCCTAAATACCCCACAACAACACCCTCCAACACCAAAAACCCTTGAAAGCCCTAAGCCCTCAACAAAACAAGACTCCAAAAGCACAACGGCCCACAAACCCTTAAAATCCCGAAGCCCTCAAATAACTCCAAGAGCACAAGAACCACAAACCCTGAAAACCCCGAAGAGAGCGCCGAGGGCCTGGACCTGAGCGCTTCGGAGTTCGACCAAGCCAGCCGAGAGCCTCCTGGCGGTAGGTTTTGATTTTTGTCTTTCTTTGCTTTTGGTTTTGTATGCTTCTTGTTGGTGGGCTTAATTTTTTTTGAGGCGGGAAGGGATGGGGAGGAGGGGGGGGGAAGGGCGGAAGGGAGGGTTTTGGTGTTTGGTATTGGTGTTTTGTTGTGGTTTGCGGAGGGAAATGGCTCCTTCCCCAGAACCATCCAACACGTCGAAAAGCCAGTGCCTGAAACCCGAAACCCTGACCCTAGGGTTTAGGGTGTAGGGTTTATAGGGTTTATAGGGTTTAGGGTTTAGGGTTTGTAGAGCCCCAGAAGCCCAGGATTTGGTCTGCAGCCGCTGCAAACCCGCAGATCTCGCAGCTCATAGCCTCCGCGGACGTGGGCAACAGCAGCCACCCGGCCCCTACAGCGTTTCTTCGGGTTTAGGGTTTAGGGTTTAGGGTTCAGCATCTCTGGTCCAAGCATTCACTAAGTGTTTCTGTCATCACCCTACGTGTTTGGCATCACCCCTCCCTCCCAGATCCCTCTTCATCTGAATTACATATCTTCTTTCTTACTTTAGTTGATCATTTAGCTCGCAACATTCTTTCTCGACTCGGCACCGTCTAGTCAATTCGGCACACGGATAATACACAGCCGCGTCGGTTTTCTGGGTTTTTTGACCAAAACCGAGCCTTCACCGGTTTCAAAAATTTCCAATTTTTCAAGGGTTTTCAAGGTTTTTCAGAGTTTTTCAATGTTTTTTAAGGTTTTTCAATGTTTTTCAGGGTTTTTAAGCTCAGTTCTGATGAAGGGCCGCCCCCGCGACCTTTTTCACAGCCTAATTTCGGTCAAGGGGGGGTGGTATTTTTCAATTTTAAAGGCAAAATAGTCTTCGGAGACCCCCCCTTGCCTCAAATTCGACCCCCCTTGAGAGGGAAAGTTAGCCTCCAAACACCCCAAATGAGGGGGACCCCAGGATCGGCCCGGCTCCCTATTTAAAATGTGATTTTTTAGTACTGAAATCGACGGTCCCGGGTGGGCTCTCGTTTTCTGGGTTTTTTCACCAAAACGGAGCCTTCACCTCAGGATTGCAAGTTTTTCAAGGTTTTTCAAAGTTTTTCAGTGTTTTTTAAGGTTTTTCAATGAAGGGGGACCCCAGGATTGGGCCGGGTGCCTATTAAAAATGCGATTTTTTAGTACTGAAACCGACGGTTCTGGGTGGGCTCTCGTTTTCTGGTTTTTTGACCAAAACGGAGCTTTCACCTCAGGATTGCAAGTTTTTCAAGGTTTTTCAAAGTTTTTCAGAGTTTTTCAATGTTTTTTAAGGTTTTTCAATGTTTTTCAGTGTTTTAAGCCTCAATGCTGACGAAGGGCCGCCCCCGCGACCTTTTCACAGCCTAGTTTTGGTCAAGGGGGGGTGGTATTTTTCAATTTTAAAGGCAAAATAGTCTTCGGAGACCCCCCCTTGCCTCAAACTCCGACACCCCCTTGAGAGGGAAAGTTTGCCTCCAAAAACACCCCAAATGAGGGGGACCCCAAGATCGGCCCGGGTCCCTATTTAAAATGTGATTTTTTAGTACTGAAATCGACGGCCCCGGGTGGGCTCTCGTTTTCTGGATTTTTGACCAAAACGGCCCCTCCCAGCAAGTCCCCGGGCCTCCCCGGAATACTAAATTACGAAGCCGGACCTCTCCGGAATATTAAACTACGAAGCCGGGCTTCACCGGAATACTAAATTACAAAGCCGGACCTCCCCGGAATACTAAATTACGAAGCCGGGCCTCCCCGGAATACTAAATTACGAAGCCGGGCCTCCCCGGAATACTAAATTACGAAGCCGGGCCTCCCCGGAATACTAAATTACGAAGCCGGGCCTCCCCGGAGAACAAAATTACGAAGCCGGGCCTCCCCGGAATACTAAATTACGAAGCCGGGCCTCCCCGGAATACTAAATTACGAAGCCGGGCCTCCCCGGAATACTAAATTACGAAGCCGGGCCTCCCCGGAATACTAAATTACGAAGCCGGGCCTCCCCGGAATACTACATTACGAAGCCGGGCCTCCCCGGAATACTAAATTACGAAGCCGGGCCTCCCCGGAATACTAAATTACGAAGCCGGGCCTCCCCGCGATACTAGGTTCCGCAATACCAAATCACGAAGCCGGGCCTCCCCGGAATACTAAATTACGAAGCCGGGCCTCGCCCGAATACTAAATTACGAAGCCGGGCCTCCCCGGAATACTAAATTACGAAGCCGGGCCTCGCCCGAATACTAAATTACGAAGCCGGGCCTCCCCGGAATACTAAATTACGAAGCCGGGCCTCGCCCGAATGCTAAATTACGAAGCCGGGCCTCCCCAGAGAGGCCCCTAAATCCTAAATCCTAAATCCTAAATCCTAAATCCTAAATCCTAAATCCTAAATCCTAAATCCTAAATCCTAAATCCTAAATCCTAAATCCTAAATCCTAAATCCTAAATCCTAAATCCTAAATCCTAAATCCTAATTTTTAAATTGGGAAGGATGGGGTCCTAGGCTTTAGGGTAATAAAATATGCTTTAGGGCTGTACGCCCTGTTCCCTCTTTCAAAGCTGTGAGGAGTGCGTTACGGTGCCAGAAGCTAACTCTTCTGGCACTGAAGAGAGCATCTGCCTCCAACTGCTAGACTGTCGCTACTCAGTTGTCGGCTGCCGTCGCTAGAGGCTCGGCGGGCTCGCTGCGGCGCGCTGCCTTGCCGGCAGCTAATCAGGGGCCTTGCTCGCAGTTTAGGGTTTAGGGTTTAGGGTTTAGGGTTTAGGGTTTAGGGTTTAGGGTTTAGGGTTTAGGGTTTAGGGTTTAGGGTGTGTCAGGGGAGGGCGCGCGCTCGGGTGTGAAACACCCCGGGCCGCGCGCTCGCGTTGACCGTCAACCCACCCCGGCCACCCAAACTATACTCTATTAGGGTTTAGGGTTTATGGAATTTACTTTCTTGTGCTCTGATGCTTGCTTTGATGTTTTTAAAGTTGCGCTGTCAGGGTTTAAGCTAGGGTTGGGGGTAGCCTCGGCCCTTTTCGGGCCTTCGGCGTGTCAGGGCCCGTAGAGGCCCTTATTTATTTGAAGGTCAGGGGAACCCTTTGTGTCTGCTCCTGGATTCCCCTTCTTTAAGGGCCTCAATTTAGCATCGATTTCACTACGAAAAAATCGCATTTTTCATTGCGGGTACGGGCATCCTGGGGTCCCCCTTCTTTTAGGGGGCCTTTTGAA